TATTAATTTTCAGTAATGAATATCGCGATTATTTTCGATAACCCTTTAATGGTCAGACGAATTATCGTTCTCTCCATTTTACTGATTTTCTGACAATTCTATGTCAATGCAGTTTTCAGATTGTTAACTTAGTCACTTAGCTGCGAAAGATTCATGTCCTTGCTGACATTAGGGAGGAAATTCAGCTAAATTTTCGCACTTGCGATGACTTACTTAAGCCAATCAGATGCCTGTATTTTTAAAAAACATATCGCTTTTTGCCATCTGTAAAAACACAGGCTTTCGATAGGCCAAATTTGTCCATCTTGGTAGCAAAAATTTAGCTGAATACCGCCCCTAGAAAGCCATGGATTTATGAAATATAGATTAATGAAGAAGCAAACATAAAACTGACAGATTTTTCACTGTACTGATATTTTGTTTAAAAAACGTTTATTAAGGAAGGAAACGTAAAATAAATTTTCTATTCCATTTGGGACCCCCACCCCCACAAATGTGGAAGCCCGGGGCAACTGCCCCGCATGCCCTTACCTTAGTCAGGCTCTGATGATAGATTACCAATATGATACTATCACAATTACTACAGATAACGATAACCATATTGATATTTCCTAATGATAGATGGCGCTATTTAGATTGCCATGTAGTCCAACGCTAAAGTTGTTGTTTTTGCTAAAAATAAAAATATTAATTTTCTGATCATTTTATTATATTATTTTATGTATTTTATTTTTGCTGAAAGTAAAATTATCATTTTCTATTCATTTTGTTTCATTATTTTAGAAAACCTAACTTTGAAAGCTTTTACAGGATTATTTTGGTGTCGCGTCACTCAAAAAAAAAAAAAAACTTCTAGACATTTTTAAGAAATTCTATTACAATTCCATACTTTAAATATTTATTTATCAATAACATTATAAAGTATCCTATCATCTTTTCCTTTTAAAACTGGATTCGTAAAACATTTTGTCTTTCTAACCCCCCTTTTTTTATTAAAAAATTTTTATTAATTATTAGGCCTTAGAATTCATTGAAATGAACATTTTTAAGATTATTTATTCGAAATTAGATTCAATTTTGATTTTACTTGCCAGTAATCATGGACTAAATAATCGATTGTCTCCACTATCCCGAAAAGAAAAAAATTATGAGACATAAACTTATAACACAGAAAGAAAAAAATATAAAGACACTGCACAAAATTAGATTAACACTAAACATATCATAACCGGTCAATTGACCGTTTAAGAACTTTAGTATCGAAATTGAGCTTATCATCTTATCGTTTTTGCACATATGACTTCATGACTTTTTCTAACAATTATATACAGTTAATATTCCATTACTATTTTCTTGTATTTTGTTTCTTTCGAATAATATTTGTCGTATACCTATTTCTACCACAACCGGTCATTTGACCGGGAGAAAAATTTATTGCTTTAGAAGGTTATCGGATCAGAAATTGTGATGTAATGCGTGTTCAACGTACTGAATTCGATTATAGTTGCACATTTCTGCAAAGACTGTTGCGTAGTGAGTTCCATCAGAATAACTGTGAATTCAAATTTCAAGAAATTACCTAAAATTTTTAGACTTGCATTTTTGTGTCAGAAAAAGTGACCAAAACTAAATGTTTTGGTTAGTAGCTTATATTTTATTTTGATACTTTTACTTTATTTCTAACTAACTGTTAGTTTTTACCCAGAAAAATGTCGAAACAATCAAGACAGCACAAGTTCTTAGAGGAAATAATATTAATTATAAGAATAATTAAAAGAATTATGGTAGAAATAGTTATATATTAAGTGTTGATTTGTTTAGTATTAATTTTAGACAATATAGCAAGCACATTTGTACGATGGCAAAGTTAAAAAAAATTAATAAAATTGTGCAGAATAAAGATTTTTCCTGAGAACAAAATAAATTTTAAAAAATAGACCTTGAAAGAATGAGAGGAACAAACTTGTTAAAGGTGAGTTAATAAAAAATAAAAAAATAGAGGAAGTAGAAGCGAAAAAAGGAAGGGAAAAAAACGCCTAAATGCTTACAAAGCATTATTCTTGTTAGGGGGTGTTACTTGCTAATTTCGGAACGCTTTCTTGAAGGAGCTTGCGAAATGTTGTTCCTTGTCAACACAACAAAATGCAAATAGAGATCGTTTTCAGTTGTTAACTCATTCAAAAATGTTCTTTCTTTTTCACTTCGAAAGAAAGCATTGAGTGAGTAAAGGTTTAGAATTGTGGGGTTTTTTATTCTTTCAGACGATACCGAAATTAGAACTTGAATTAGGCCTAAGGATTCTGGTTGTGCGAAATAACGATGAGTAATGTTAGCTGCTCAAATGTCGCTCCAGTTTCAACTTTCTCTTAATTTAACTTTTGATCACAGTTCTTGTCGTCACATTCATAATTGAGTTTATAAAATATTACATTTTTAATGAGCTATCGTCTCTGATTGCGACAGTAGATAGGAGGTCAACCATATGTCTGAAAAATAATTTAATCAATTATGAAGGAACGTAGAGATTAATATTAATTACTTTAACTAGGAGCTCGTTCGTGGTAACCCGATTTTTTTTTTCTCCTTAAAATTTGATATTTATTTTTAATTTTGCTACTTGTTTTTTTTTATTATTATTATTTGTTTTTACTTATAAAATATATAATTATTATAATTTTATGTAAGAACGTTTAGTTAGTATGTTAGTCGTTGCAAAATTAATAATTATAAATGAACATGCAAAATAAAAATTTGAAAAAAAATTATTTAAACTTAGAAACATAGAATGTTTGTCACAATAAGAGCTAATAAATTTGAACTTAACAATTTATAAACGCAGCCTTCTATCTATTGTATAACAGTTAAAATTGCAAACGCTTTTTCATCTGTTCTGGAACATTTTTTTATGCATATAACCGGTTTGAACAGCCGTTCAACTCCATACCATTGTAATTTTGAACCCAATCCAGAAGACAAGGCAACTACTGTATCAAGTATTTTACTTTATAATCGCCGTTGAACAGAAGACCCAATTTTTGGGTTTACGACTACTAATGTTCAACTCAGTAGCTTTCTAATTTTGAACCCAATCCAGAAGAAAGGGAACTCCTGGATTAAGTATTGGGAGAAATTTGCCTTCGTGGAGGACTTTCTGATGGAACCAGAGCAGGATTATACCTTTCGTAGGCCCTAGGCACAGAGCCGGATAATACCCTTCGTAGGCCCTAGGCATAACCGTTTTTGGGCCCTCCCCTCCTTCCCCTCTTTTCAAAATATATGCTAAAATTTTCTTGCATATTTTTTTTTTACATTTTTATTAATATGGGTTTTAATTTACGAATTTGTTTATCTAACTTTATCTGCAATACCGACATACTGCCGATATTGCAGTTGATATCGATAATACCATTATGATTAGTTCGATCGATAACTATGTAAACACTTCACGTCAACAATACAACAACAAACCAGCAAAGAAAACAGTGAAATTGATAGTGAGATTAATTACAAGAAATATTTATACAGTAGAGAACCAATTATCTGGGATGCTCGGGACCATCGCTATCCCGGATGTCTGAATTTCCCAGTTTTCTGGATCGACCAAAAAGTGTCATTAATCGATGTTTTATCGAACCCGAATTACAAGGAAATTACACAAAAATTTGTCAGAATCTGAGATTAAACTAAAAGCGCAAAATTTGGTGAAAATTTACTCATCCGATTTAGAGAAAAACTTTGTAGATGAATTTTTACTATTTTCAAATTTATATGAACATAAATCTGCACAAGAAATGTTGAAGGCTCAAATTAAAGATAAACTTGTGAATACTTTTCCTAACGTTCACATTGCATTAAGAATATATTTGTCGATTCTTGGATCAAATGCAGAAGGAGAAAGATCTTTCTCCAGATTAAAATTGATAAAAAATTATTTGCGTTCAACAATGAATCAAGATCGTTTGGCATCGCTCGCACTTATGTCTATTGAATACGACATTTTGCGTAGTTTGGAATTCGACAGCATAATACAAGATTTCGTTGAATCCAAAAATCGCAAAAAAGTAATATATTAGATCATAAGATTCTGCAAAATAATTTATTACCGAAAAATATTATATTTTTATTTGTATCTTCATAATTTTGTGCAAAATACACTTATTGTTTTTAAAGCTAAATTATTTTTGTCAGCAAATTTTTTTCTCCCAAGTTTTTCGTAGGCCCCTGAATTTCGTAGGCCCTAGGCACGTGCCTAGTGTGCCTATAGGTTAATCCGGCCCTGGATGGAACTAACCCGCATTTGCGTTATATAGAGACCACTAGAGCATCCCACGGTTAGCCTGACTGCAAAGGGTCTCTTTGATCCGTCTACCACTGAGGATATTTCACGTCAGCACTGTAATCGATGCAAGCCGGATGTGGAATTCGTATCCACCAGCCATCGCTGGGATTCGAACCTTGTTCACATCATTGGTGAGGTGAGCGCTCTATCCCCTGAGCCATCACGGCTCTTGCATGGAGCCACTATTAGATATCTAGCTTGAAATTTACCGACATGGGAGCTAATAAAAGGGTGATCTCGAGAGAGAGAGATAAATGCTGCGACGATCGTTATTTAAATCAACAATCTTTATAACAATTGTTATTTAAGGCAAAAAATCTGAACGTGAAAATGAACAAAAAATGTAATAACTTTCGAACCCACTTGAAACTCGCTGTTTTAAATACCTAAAACAGCAACAGCCTTTAAGATTTTTAATGTAGAGAAAAATAAAGGATAAATCATGCTATTAACAATCGAAGTCATGCGTAGAAAAGGAATTAAATTTATTTTTTATGACACATTTGTACTTAAAGAAAGTTAGATATTTTTGATTTTTTTTACACAGAAACTAAAACAAAAATTTTTAAAAAATAAATAAATTAAAAAAGCTCATTTAAATGATTTTATTTCTGATTATTATTTTGTAATGTATGTTAATTTGATTAAAATGTTCTTTTAGATATCTGTGGTGGATCTTGCTACAAACAGTGACGATAGATGGAGACACATTACAAAGTTAACATCATTCTGCTCGGAACAATTAGTAAGTCTCTCTAGAAAATTATCTTTCGATATTCTAGGTATTTTCGATTCTAGGTATTTTCAGCAAATACGAAAAGTGAGTAATTGCCAAAGAATTAAGACAGTAAAATGATTTTTAATAATTGATATAATAATTTAATAATAATTTTAATAATAATTTAATACTATGAGGGTTAACCATCAAGAAAAGTTTGATTCTCATGGACCAACAATCCATGATGATCCTTGATGGTTCCAACATTTTCATGATGGTTTAATGAAAATTCTTGTTGGTTCTCAGGAATAGACCATCAAAACAATTTGGTTTTTATTAGGTCAGACCATCATAAATCAGTCCGAATTCCTACATTGAGATGATGGTTACTTATGTCGGTTACCATCAAAAGTATAATGGTTCATGAGGGAATTATTGATGGTTTCCATCAAGATTATTGTTGGTCCATCCATGTAAAACCATTAGAAATTTTGACTTGCGTTTTTTTTTTTAAATACTTCGACTGCCTCCCTCTGCTTTTAAAACTGCGTATTTATTTTTCTCTGCCTAATATTTTACTTCTAAACTTTTAAAATGCTTTTTTGCACTGATCTCCAAAATATTTTGGTAAAAATATAGTGTATGCCACGCGAAAATGCATGTGAGTCCTTATTTTCATTTCTCTATATCCTACAAAAATGACGTTTATTTTCATTTCTCTATAACCAATGATGTTTATTTTCATTTCTCTATATCCTACAAAAATGACGTTTATTTTCATTTCTCTATAACCTATAAAAATGACGTTTATTTTCATTTCTCTATAACCTATAAAAATGATGTTTATTTTCATTTCTCTATATCAGTGTTTCCCAACGTGGGGCCCACGCCCCACTGGGGGGCAATTAGATTGTTAAGGGGGGCAATTCGAAAATGGACTCGACAAGAGTTTTATCCATTTGCTCCGGGTCATTTAAATACTATGCTAGATTTCGGTTCCAAAATTGAAAGAATAAAGCAAATTCTTAAATAATTGCGGTCAATAAACATTATAAATTCGTTTGGTGAGACCAAAATATCAACTGGGTTTTTGGCGTCGTTAAGTTAATAACTAACCTCCCTGTGGCATATGGCAGGCTCCGCGTAGACCCCTTGACGCTTTAAAATTTCGCTAAACAATGCAGTTGTTCGCATCTGAATGGCCCGTCGCAACTTCTGTAGTGTTTCGCAACATTCAGTGATAGAAATCAATACCATAGTATGTCTTTTATGCCTGCAATGCAACAGTAAAGTCTTTATTTACTGCTCACACTTCAACTCATAATTGTATTCTTGAGGCTAGTTATGAAATTTCTTTATT